GAGCTCTCAATAAGGCAGTCTTCTGGTGTTTTATGACTATTCTCTAAGAACCATCCGGAACATCGTACATCTTTCCTGATCAGGATGTATTTGTTCATTAGCTGAGTGTGAAATCCAGCAGTGCCGGAAGGTCCAGATCGCATCTGCAACAGGCAGCTGTTTGCTTTGGGCGCCAGAAGAGAGTTTGCATTTTATACTAGAAGGACTTTCCTGTGTTTGCGCTCCATCCACATCAGGAACATATTCGGAGATGTCAAGGCCAAGGAACATTCCGTATCCATGCAGAGATGATGGAAGATTGACATTTTAAATAAAAATGATGGCAAACATGAGGCTGCATTCGGTGCCTAATGAGAGAGGGTCACCAGTGACGTGCATATCGTATCACCTGTGGTCCACATCTTCATTCACACAACTTAAAACTTTATTTAGCACCGCACCCCTAACACCAGCCACGTCACCAGACCTCACCGTGGACCATTCGCTTCTACATAGGATTGCTTTTCAGAAAGAACATTCCAGAAAGAATGCCGTCCTATAATCTTTTCCTCCATGTAAAGGAATTTAACTGAAGCAGCACAGTGCAGAGCTGGTGCAAGTTAGCAAAGGCTAACTTCACTCACACTCATTCCCCACTGCTGTGGAAGCTACATATAACATATAGTCGTACTGTTTCATATTAACAAAAACTCCAAAGAGATGTTTAAATGTTCTTATTTTGGAATAAACTTGTATTTTAGCTTTTTCTTTTAATGTTTTGCTGGTGTGAAATGCCTCTCTTTTACATAAAATTTGCACATTTGTTATGTCTCTGTGTATTTGCGGTGCTTTGCTCTGTGACTGTGTTGTGTTGCAGGACATTCCAGTGACAGCGGTGGTTAATTGTTCCTGTTCCTGCCATCGGTGATTGGGTTGGCAGCTGTATAAAGGGGTGCTGCTCCCGTGAGAGAGGACACTGCGCTCTTCCATTAGTGATGCTCCGCCCAGTCACATTCTGTCGTCATGACCGCTTTTTGCTTGTGTGAGAGACAGGCATGGCTCTGGCATTGCGCCTTGTTATTTTTGTTATTGGGTCTTGTCATTGGTTTGGTTATACGAGCCATTATTTGTATTATTTGTAATAAACCTTTTGTTTTACTGATTATTTTGTTTGTCGTGTGTTGGAGGTTTTTCTCCATCTCCTTTTCTTTGTTAAGGTGTCCTCTCCCTAGACTGCCACTTAACAAACTTCAAATCTATTCATTTTGTTAAACAAAGACCCTACATAAAATCCCCCTTTAGAAAAACAGAAAAAGAATTTGGAAAATAGGTCAACTTTTGTATTTCAGCATTTGACGGATGTTTGGATGGATTTTTTCGGATCTTCGGTTGTGATGTGATGTGAAAATGAAGCGAATGAATCCCATAAACTTAATGTTAACATATTTATTTTTAATACACATACACATACATTCCAATAAGAAGAATATATTAATGTTTGATTTTATGAATCACAAGATATTGCAATTTAATTTCTGCAGCATGCCAGTGTAATAGATATCACTGTATGCAGTTTATTGCACCAATCAGTAAAGGGTGTGACATTAACATTGCAGCTATTAGGGTGGCATTTTACTGTAAAGGTGCATTTTACAGGTAGATTTTAGCAAAGTAAAGCAGGTATTGACACTCATGGTGGTATAAAGGTTAACCATTTCAGGTCAGGTCAGGTTGGGGAGCATGCACTGGTATGGTGCGTTGTGACACCCACCACATGATGAAACACCTCAGGATCCCGGTTGGCGACCCCCCAAGCAGACACTTGGTCCAGTCCCACCCTCCGGAAATGGCTGTCTATCTGCCGCATCCAGGTGTTATGTGGGCGTCCCCTTAGCCCCGCCCAACAGCTCAGGTCCTCAGCAATGAGGATCCTGTGAGCTGGATCAACCTCAGGGAATCACCTCACATTGCCTTAGTGCCATAACTGATGCTACCTCACAATTCAGGTAATGTGCCTCATTCGCGACTCCCAGAGCAACCGCTTATTCGACTAAAAGTCAAATCCACGGCACCCAAAGATTCTCGGAAGAAACACAATACCGAAGGAGTCCAGTCTTTGTCTAAGGTCGCTGAATAGCGTCCATGTCTCACAGCCATGTAGCAAATCTGGGAGCACCAGGGCTCAAAAGACATGGACCATCCTCCTCAGACAAAGATATCAGGAGCGCCTCACACCCTTTCCCAGACCTTATAACTCTCCATGTTCTCCCAGAGTCCCAATGACTGCATTGCCACAGTACTTAGCAGTACAAATGCACAGTTTTTTCCCTGACAGATAGAGAACCGCTTGCAGGGCCGGATTTTTCATCATACCCATTTCAAGGAGGTGAAAAGATTTTTCTAAAACAATTGTAGTTTGCACTTCAAGTTAATACAAATTATTATTATTAACTGAAATACTTCTCCAGCTGTCCAGCCATCCATCATCTAACCATTGTCGTGGGAATAAGCAGTTAAAAGTAAGTAAATAAAATGTATTTATTAAGCACTTTATAAACATTTAAATTTAAAAAAATTTTATTTTTAAAATCAGAAACTGAAGAGGCAGTCCTGCTATGGGTGGGAAGACGGTTCAAAAGCCTGGGTGCTGTTACCAGTGCAGTGACCCTTTTATTTTAACCTCACCTGAGGAACTGGCAGTAGAAGCTGCTCAAATGACCTCAGCAGTTTTGTGGTGGTGGGTTGATGGATGGATGGATTGATGGATGGATGGATGGATGGAAGGAGGAAGCATGTAGACAGCATTTACACAGAGTGGTCATTTGTAGAAGAGTGAGCGTTGACAGTGCATAGAGACGCCTGTGTGTGGCTGCACAGAGGGATTATTACGGATCACACAGAGCCGGCTGCGGCCACCCAAAGGGGCAGCTCTGCGCTTCCTGCTCTCAGTGTAAACCGAATGTCTGCATTGCGCGCTTGGTATTTTCTCAGAGAGTGATTGAGATGCATAACATTTACCTAAAGGAACTGCATAATGGAGCTCCAAGCTGCCTGAAAACATCTGATGTCTGGAAGGCTCCCCCCCCCCCCAGTGCCCTGCTTGTGGCAGCGGTTTCGCCAGTGCATTATGGGAGAAACTGCAGTGCACATAAAGTCACTTTCAGGCATTCGCACACACAGAGGGCCCCAATAGTTCTGCTGACGGTGCGATCTGTACACTTCCCCAGGTCGAGGAAAATGGGGCATGACACCCGAAAGCGGAATATCGCAAAGTACTTCCATTTGATTGTGGGTGAGTAAGAAAACGCCATTGTCAGGCTTTGAGGACTTTAAACCATTGACTTTGGGGGCCTTGGTGATGAGGTGAAACGCAGTCACACACACACACTGCATCTAGCAATGCCTACATACTCATGCTGTAGTACACCTCACACTATAAACAGAATGTATATACACTCACCTAAAGGATTATTAGGAACACCATACTAATACGGTGTTTGACCCCCTTTCACCTTCAGAACTGCCTTAATTCTACGTGGCATTGATTCAACAAGGTGCTGAAAGCATTCTTTAGAAATGTTGGCCCATATTGATAGGATAGCATCTTGCAGTTGATGGAGATTTGTGGGATGCCAATGGGTTCCACCACATCCCAAAGATGCTCTATTGGGTTGAGAT